CTATTGTATTTCTGTGCTGTTTTTTTGAAGTTTACAAAGCTGTTTACAAAAGTCTCAAACAATCTGTCAAGCTGCAATATGGAGTGGAAGGGAGGAGACTTTTGCAACTCTAAGAGCTGGCAGTTGAATTTGCTTCTCCACCGAGCAACTGGGCCTATAGAAGGATCAGCACCCAGAAAATGAGTTCACAATTGGTATGCAGGATTCATTTTGATTTCATCTCAGTCTTTGTATCCTACTTTTCCTTCCAAAACAAAGCCTGCAGTGTCAGAGAATAAAATACCAAAATGAATTAGATAATACCAGACAACAAACTGGTAAAAATGACCTAACAATTAAAACATTCTAATAACCTATCAATAAAAGTTCAAAGCAATATCCAATGTGGAGGAGGGAGGGATAATTCAAGTATAACTGACCTGAAGGAAGAGACAGAAGAATCAGTGGGAAATGTGAGAAGAACGATGATGGGGCTTCCAGATGGATTATTAAGGCGGAAATGTGGTAAAAAAACAACAACACAGGAGGGCTATGAAAAGAGGACAACCTTGTTTGGACTCTCCATAAGCTTCTGCAGGGTGATGTTGCCATATAAACCTGGTCTGGGAACATCCAAAGATTTTTCTCCTGATGACACCTCGTGGCCTTTTTAAAGGATTCAAAACACCATTTTCCCCCTCTTTCCCCCTGTACCAGAGCTCAGCAATCCTACGTGAATAGGGTGCTATCCTGTTCCATGGAAAGGAAAGAGAAGGAAACCTTAATGCTGGTACTGGTGCCCCCCCCCCTTTGTGTGTGTATGTGTGGGGGGTGATTTGTCATTGCATTAAAAAAGTCAAAGGGATGTGTACTTATTTCCCTTCACCCGCCCCACTCTTCGTACGTCCACTCCCTAGCAAACATCTCCAACTGAAAATGAAAGTATCGTGAAGCTGCAAGGGAAGATGCTGGGAAACAGAGAGGTAAAGATTTGACCAAAGAAGAGCCCAATGGCCACCAGCTGCATTACATCACGGCCCAAGCAACTAAGCAATCTGTTGCACCAGGTAATCAAATAATGCTGGTATCAGGAAAGAGACACAGTTTGTTGTATTGTTGTTGTAAATTACACAGTGTTCTTCTTCGCAGGAACACCTCCCGGACCCTTCCTGCTGAGATCCAATACTTCACTATGCTGAGTTCCATTTTAAGGCCCATTATGGGCTGCTTTTGTGGTGGTCATTTGAATTAAGGGCATATGGATGGGCAGGAAATAAATTAGTGTACTGTCTGGACACTTTTTGTACTGCCTTGATTTTTAGATGATATTTTAATTGCATTTATTTTTATTTGTACTATTTGTTCGATTAATAGTTTTCTTGGTCATATTAATCATGGATTTCTGTAGCTGTGTGTGCAAGTTTCTTCAGCAGTTTTTTGTGGTGGGGAGCAAAATATACACATCATCATCTTGATTAATGGTAATAATGAAAGTGACTGCCTTGTTAGTCGTGAAGGCAGACAAGTTCAGTTTACTGTCCAGGTACTTCTATTTAAGAGGCACAACAGTTAACTATTTTTCCCCTATGCATAAGCCTAACACTTGCTGGAATACACTGACTTTGTACATAATAGCAGAATATAACCTCTGATATGGTCTACTGGGTTGGCACATATAAAGTGCTTTTATGATGATTTGTATTATACACTGGGTAATATAAAATATTATGATATATAAATGTTAAATGACTGTATATTGTAAGTGATAAAGGAAACACATGTTTTGAAATGGAAGTTTCTGACAGTCATAGGACAAATTCCACAATACTTTATGAAAATAAATAACACTTTTATGAAATGCAAAACCAGACTATTTTATCATTCATCTGAGCAATGCCAGCCAGATCAGAGGAGAACCTCAGATGATTCAGATGATCCCTACAGTGTTGGTATTGTAGCAAGCTTCAAAGGAGCACCGAACTCCCTGCCAGAAGAATAGAGCTGTGCCACAGAAAAGCTTGCTATCTTGCCAGCCCTATAGGGTGAATGCGAGACATTGCATGAATCACTTAGGATACCTGGCACTGTGTGAATCGGGGCCAGATTTTGTGTTAGGCAGCATGCGTGCCTATGAATAGGTGCTATGGAATGGCAGGAATTGGCTAGTTATTTAAGTTAGTATAGTTGTATTTGACTCACTAGGGAGTGGGAGAAGTGCTTGCGGGATTTTTTGTCTTGGGTGCCCAACCAATTTGACTTGGACATAACTTGGTAGGGAGGGGTAGGAAAGGGACATTTGCTGCTTTCCTTCAGGCATCAAAAGGTCTTGAGCGGGCCCCGGTGGGAATGCATACATACACAAACATCCTTCTTTCAAATAATGTGCAACCTGATTTGAAGGAAGTGAGATAAATGATCAGGCTATTTTCAGGGAATTACTCTGAAAACACGAAGGTATTAATCTTGATCTACATTAATGGCTGATGTATACAAGATTCACTGCTTCTTATATTCACAAGACATTATGAGTGTTTCCTCATAAGGTTTAATTGAACATGACTTGTGACAAGTGTCATCCTATTGTGGTGGCATGTGGAGAATAACACCTCCAAAGATCAAAGAAGGCAAGTACTTCATGTATGAGAAAATGGCCTCATAAGTAACAGGAAGGCAGCAAGTTATGTGTCTGTGGGAAACCTATTAAAGCCAGTGTGGCTTAGAGTATTGGACTGGGACCTGGAGATCCACATTCTGGTCCCCGCTCAGCTGTGATGCTCCATGGGTGACTTTGGGCCAGTCACTGATTCTCAGCCTAGCCTACCTCACAGGGCTGTTGTGAGGATCAAATGGAGAGAAAGAGGATCATGTAAGCAGCCTTTGGTTCCTTGCAAGAGGAATAAAGTCGTGGTATAAATGTATTATGTAGCAATGTCAATAAATGTAATTTTCATCTAATTCCAATTATGCCGATCAAGTATGACAATCATTGCTATTGGGATTGGTCACTCTGCTTATCTTGTACAGATTTAAGCCTCATGTTGAACCATTGCAAACTTCAGCTCTTGCATTTCACAATCATTTGGCTCTGTCCATATCTGGCCCTTGGCACACATCACTTGAAGCAGCTGCCATATTATGTCTCGTGCTGGAGCTGATCCCGGCTTGTCTGCAGTTCAGAAGCTTCATAGAGGTTGCGTGCAAAACTCAAAACACAAAATTTGCAGTTCAGAGGAGAGACAAATAAATTCTCTGCACTCTCCCAGAAACTGAAGGGTCTGGTGTCACGGACACAGAGCTGTTTGTGCCATGAGGCCTGCCCCCCCCCCCCCGCCCCAAATTAGCCTCCTGCAGCCCAGCGCAGTAGAGGATGCTAGTGTTGAAATAAAATTCAGTTGCCAGTCCAGTTGGTCTTTGCATGTGGATTGTGGGAGCACCATCTTTTCTTTCAACCCAGCCAGCCCGACATATTCTAGCATGAAATGAGCCAAATACTGTTTTTGTACAAGCTGCCAAGATACCCTGCCGAAAACGTTCTGAAATTCACAGATTCACAACACACATTATTAAAAGCACACATGCTTACAAATGAGCATATTTTTCTTGATTCATAGCATGCCATCACCCCCAATTTCAAAACATTTGGAATTTCAATACATACTGGCTAGGATTCTGGAGACAGTCCCAAAATTAGAAAGTGTTAGGCCAACCAAAATAGAGCTATACCATAAATATTCTAGAAAATAACTGTACTCATCATTAAAAGTCCTGCTTGTTAAATAGGTGCACGTGGAGAGTATGACGCACTGATCATAGCTTAGGAGGTGTCTTTATTAAGTGACTTTAGCAACACACACACATATATAAAATATGCTTCTGAATTACAGAATGAATGAAAGACATGCTTCTAAATTACACTAACATTAATTCTGAGGCTCCTGAGGATGTGAGGTAATTATGCCCAAGAATGCACTTTGTTCTCATAAACAGAAATTAATCCCTGGAAGATTCAACAGTGGAATAATGCAACACAAGTCATGAGGGCAAAAGAAGCGCAAGGAAACAATAATGACAGCTTGCAGTACTTGTCTACTCTTCCTTTCTATAGAGTGGCCTTCCCATAGCCGGTATTCTCCAACTATCTTAGACTACCATTCCCATCATCCCCAGCCAACAGGGCCATGGGCTGAGGTGGCTGAGACAGTGCAAGTTGTGGTCAAATCCCTCTGGTGGGCACCAAATTGGGCAAGACTGCTGCAAAATACACTGAAGCTACAAAATACACAGACGCCATAGAAAAAGCAGGTTTCCTTTCGGTCTAATTCTCCTTGCATATTTTGAATCTTCCTGACAGAAATCAGGATATTTTTCTACCTCAGATGTGACCGCTTCAGAATGGTTCACCAGTGCTGCCTACAAACTGGGCAACCCCAGTTCCAGGTATGTTTACCTGGAATTAAGTGCCACTGTATTAAGGGGTCTTTCCCCCCAGGTTTGTGTAAACAAGATTGCAGCCACTAAACCTTTTCAAGCTTTGCAGAATCCTGACGCAGCTTCCCTTTGTAGTTTCTGACGGTACAATGCAGTAAAAACCATGTTGAAATGTCTTAGCAATGCCGTTTCTACTGCTAGCAGGCTTTTGCACCAGAGAAGTCTCAGCAACCAGGAAAAGCTAGGCTTCTCAAGTCATCCTTTCAAAAGCTCATCAGCCATGCCAGTCTGCCAAGCAGTTATATAATGTGAGAGAACAGACCATGCTCCTCTTTGGATTTCTAGAGAGCATCTATCCTGTGAAATCTTATCCACTCAAAGCCAGGAGGAGTAGAATTCAAACAAGAACTTGCTGTGTCAACAGGTAAGAGCCTCTACCACCAGGAAAAACTTTTCCTCCGACCCAGGAAAGAGAGAAACAAGCTACTACGTCTTCACACCATCTGTCTGCCAGCCTGGAAAGACACCCCTGAATGTCTTGGCTGCCTACCCGCAGCACCCTACTGTTATAGAAAAGAGCAAATTAGACTCACCGTTGCCTATGGCCAGGACTTGCATGTTCTCAAACTCCAGGGTGGTGTATGCTGGGTCAAGAGCTGCGCTATAATCTGCCATCTCCATGTCTATCAGGGCTTTGGAAAGGCGCATTATCATCAGCAAACACGGTCCAGATTGCAGCGATCCTGCAGCCAGAGGTTATTGGCCCCTCAACCTCCCTAACTGATTTTGCCGGCGTCCCCTATCTGTTGGCCTTTATTTCAAATATTTCTCTGAAAGGTTCTCTGAGCTTCAAGGCCTATACTACCCAGAGGGGGTGGAGGCAGGAGGCAAGGGGGGGTTAATCTTTAATCATCTCACCCACTAGTGCATACTGCTCTGCTCTGCTTCTTCTTTCTGTCTTTCCATCATTCTTTTCTCCGCTTGCCTTCAGTTTGGGTGATTGTTTAAGATCAAATTGGCAATCTGCTGGTTTCAGTTCAGGACAGGTGTCAGAGATGGACAATGCAGCAAGCAGTACGGGCTAACTTTTCCCAGTGCTTGCTCTGCCTAATGCCCAGTCCTCAGGGCTGCTTCATGTTTAGCTAAAGTTGCAAAGGATCAGACAAATGGATGGGGAATGCTGAAAACCTCGCTCCCCTATCCCATCTGGTTGCCATTTCACGCCATCTATTTCTTTCTCTCTCCCATTCTTCTCCCACACCCTGCTGTCTCTCTTTGGTGAAGGTCAGTAGAATGTAATTTACACACTGTCATACACAGAGACAATATGGGACTTTCATTTTACTTCCTTATAAAACTGTGTTTTATAGGCTCTGGCCTGGCTATAAACAACACCCACTTCACAGCATTTACCTAAAACAGATCTCACCGGGCCAGGCACACAAATGCACAATCAGTTTACTGCACCATTGGTGTATTCCTTCCAGCATTCACTGCTTGTATTTCATGGGCCAAATAACCTCCTCCTTGTGATTCACCCCTGCACCAGCAGGAAGTAGCATTTGGGGCAACTGCATTGTGATGCATGTGACCCATCTCCCAATTGCCCAGGGTCTTTTGTAAAGCTTAATCACCAGCTGGCTTAGGGCAGCAGTGCTGGAAAAGTTTATTAACCCCTTTTTCCTGAGCCATTCTCCTGATTGAAGTGGTGTCCTCTCACCTACTAATATCATTGGAAGGCACAATGTGGGTAATCATGTCCCCCACTCCCAAGCAGGGATAGTAGGAATTTCTTCAGGAGACAATTTGGAACAGGGAAATCATGGGGAATAGAGGGTTAATCAACCCCCCCCCCCCCACTTAGGAGTGCTTCCCTGCACCAGTTTAGGGGGACCCTTTGATGGCTCCATCGAGAAAGAGAGAGAGATCAGCTCTTGTCTCTTCCGTGTCTGTCCTTTCCCAACTTGATATGACCACCTAGATGTGCGTCTTCTTTCTAGCAGCTGGATATCACCACCAGGTATGGGTGTTGGTGCGATTACAATCAGTCCTTGCTGATTGGTTTTATCTGCAGAAGCATCCACTTCCTAGCCATCTAAATACTGCTGACTGTAGCCTTTTCTACTGCTGAAGTAGAATGTCTGAATTATTATTCATCACCCTTGCTTTTATTTCTTCAGAGCATGCAGGGGCAGGGAAACACATTTCACAGTACGAGAACACGCAACTGGAAAGTCCTTGCTGCTTTGCATGGGTGCTCATCTTGCATTCATTCATAAGAGATGGTGTCTTGAGTGGGCCCTTGCTGGCAAATGTTAAGCATGCGGGGAGCTGGTCCGTCAAAAAACTCAGACAGGAAACTTATCTTTAATCTCGTGCTGTTTGCATTATATTGGAAGATCTACTTCAGTTGGCCAGCATTTTGAATGTCCAAAGAAACATGTATATGTTCTTAGTAATACTTATATATCACTTACTGTAATAAAATCCCCCATTGGTTCACATATAAATATTGAAAATCATATTTAAATATGGTATTAAAATACACCCGATTATAATAATACAAGGAACAGAATATGGCATAGCATATGAGTAATTGCAATTAATTATAACACAGAGCTTGAGTGAACAAGAGAATTTTCAGGAAGTTCTTGAAACGTACCATATTTTCTCCTCCCTGAACTGCACGGGGGAGAATTTTCCAGATGCTGGGTGCTATCACCAAGAAGGTAATATTCTGTTTGTCACAGGAGAACTACCCTGGCCTCCTCTCAAGTTCTTAAAGGCTGGCTGCATATTTAGAGAGAACACAGTCTGCTAGACATCCTGTTCCCAAGTTGTTTAAGACTTTGACAACAACATAAGCTTTGTAGCCAATATTGATTTATGATATTTTTGTACCACCTAATAGCTGAAGCAGGTGTTATGTGAACACAGCTGGGTGTTCTGGGTACCACCCTAGGGACTAGCTGAAGTTGGTAGTGGGAGTTCCAGTTCCCTAAGATCACCAGGACCTCCAGTGACAGAGATGGATCCAGGAGCACCCCACTGCATACCTGCTCCTTTGGAAGAAATGCATCCAGCCCAGTTCCCAGACCTGGGAACTGCCTACCCATAGAATCCATGTGCCGTGAGGATTAAGTTGCAGTTCATCAGCCCTCATCCAAGTCATAACTGCATCCATGCATCATTCAGAACAAGCACCACCTCTCCTGATTCAGAGAGCACAGAGAAACAGAGCCGCATGGCATCAGCGAATTGCTAACACCTTGTCCCAGATCTCATAATGACTACTCTGAATGGCTTCACATGGAAAATGACACTGGAGACAAGATGGTGCCCTGTGCCATCCCACAGTTCAGTGGCCAAATCCAATCCTCAAATGTTATGCTCTAAAACCAAACTTGCAAGTAAGAGCTAAGTCAGTATAGAACAATCTGGTTTGTGTGGCAGAGAGGGGGTTAATAAGCTGCAGTGCCAGCTACAGCATGTTGAAACATCCCGATGCAGCACGGGAAGGTTGTGGTAGTGGTAGGTAATAAACTATCCAGAATCAGTGGTTTGTTATAGGGTTGCTTGGAAAATTGCCCCAGTATCATCTCCAGATTTGAAGTAATTACCTCACCAGATGTGCGCATCACAACAAAAGACACCTGGCAAAGGGCATTTTTGTAAATTGGGCCAGCATACACAGGGAAGGTAACAAACCACCATGCCTTACTAACCCACCTTTCTGCTTTCAACACGGAGGAAGTATAAGAGGTTACCATGATGCAGTTGTTCTGGATCACATCATCAGCTTATTTTCTACCTTGCATCCACTGCCTCTTGATAACCTTGCTTTCTCCAGTCAGAACTACCTGATCCTGCTTTCTTTGCCTCCAGAATCCCATCAGTCTGCCATTGACTGTGTTTCCGTCCTGTATTGTGCACTGCCCTTCTTGCTTATAGATACTCATTGTATTTCTTTACCAGATACCTTTACTCCCAGAATTCCCTGTGGTCAGAAGGACTGCCTGTAACACAGGCACAATTTCTTTTTTCAGCCCAAGGACTGAATGCTATTTTAGAGAAGATTTCAGGGAAAGGCTGAAGGTAATGGGAATGGGGCAAATGGAACAGGGCCAAAAATAGCCAAAATAGCACCATAATAGCACCAAAATAGTTTCAGGCATCAATTGCATTTTCATTTCACTATCCTACTGGAAAAATGCATATTACTTTGAAATTCTCTCATATGATTTTGCTGTATTGTAGCAAATTCTAAACATTTCAGTGATTGGAAAATGAAGCATAGAACAATAAACATGACCAAATTTGAGACTCCTATAGATGAATGTGTGTTTTTGGGAAGACAGGGAAATGTATATTTTGAAGATAATACTGTGTGTATGCCAGGAGAAGAGATGATAGCAAGCTCCAAGATAAATTAAAAAGATGTGTGTTTTTCTAAATTCAGAGTTCTAAATTCAATTTCTAAGTTCAAAATAGTCTTTTTGACTGAATATTTTCTAGGGAAAATCTGTGTGTAAATTGCTACTAAAGTCATGGAGCACTTGGCTCTGAGAAGCCATGACTTCTTGGTTTTGACTATTTCACAGGTCTTTGGGGAGTTAAATGGTATAACCCCATAGACAGAAAAATAAATAGTTTAGACAGGCAGGCAGTCGGGCAGGCGGGAGGACGGAAATGCCACCACCTCCTAAAAGAAGAAGACTGGCAAGTGTGATAAGTTGCATTTCAGTCTGTTGCCACAGACATTAAATTAATACATATATTGTGGTGTGATCTTTCTCACTACAGATACCAAAGCCCTCTTCATAAAATGTAGTAAGCAGAACCTCTTCTACATTTAACATAAAACAAAAGTAGCCTTTCCCTTTCATAACACACTGGTGTGTATGATACTTTCACATAGTTCAGTCGGCATTGATTCTTCCTTGTGTATATGCCCATATTCTAGGCAAGCTGAACAACTGCGACATATTTTTGTACACAGCCTCCCGTCACCTGCTGCCACTCCCCAAGCGTTCTACATAATCAGAGCTGCCTCAAGTCCCACCAAAGTCAACGGGAGCCGTTTCGTATTGTGTGTGCATGTGTGTTGCGTGTGCTAAGCCTGGTGCAGCTCCAAACAGCAGATATGCGCCACATTCTCCTAAAGCTACTTTCATCTCTAGCTCTGTGAATTGCTTACACGGGCTTGAACTGGGGAGGAGTTTTATGATCACTATAAATTCTCTTGTGTAACAACCCATGATTAATAACTGTAAATCAATTAATCACTTGGGAGCGTAAGAACATAGCAAGAGCTGTACCGGAGAAAACCAAGCTCTATGCAGTACAGCATTCTGCTCACACAGTGGCCGAACAATGCACCAGCCCACTCCCACCCATTTCCACCAGCAACTGGTGTACGTGGGCCTACTGCCTTGGGTACTGGAGGCTGGATGTAGCCATCGAGATTTTTGGCTCCTGATAGCCTTATCTTCCATGAATTCCAGCCCCTTTTAAAGTCATGGCCATCGCTACACCTTCTGAAAGTGAACTCCATAGCCTGACTGGCTGCATTTTTGTCTGTCCTGAATCTTCCAGCAAGCATATTCATGGCATGATTCCATGTTCAATTATTATGAAAGAGGGAGAAAAATGTCTCCCTATCCACTCTCTATGTACCATGCATAATTTTGTACATCTCCATCATGTCTCTTCTCACTGACCTTTTTCTAAGCCAGTCAGAACCAGCTGTTGTAACCTTTCCACACTGGGGACTTGCTGTAGCCCATTGATCATTTTAGTTGCTCTTTTCTGCATTTTTCAGCTCTGCGGTGTCCTTTTTTTAGGCACAGTGACCAGAATTGTATGCAGTATTCCAGGTGAGATAACATTGTATGATCTTGGTCATTTTCAGTTGGATTGTATTCCTTGAGTTGCACTGAGAATTCAGTAATAATGAATTAAGATGACTTGCTCCTTACATAATGAAAGTATTATGGGTTTGGAGAGTTCTTTTCCTAGTGGAGCAACAGGACTTTCAGCAATTTTCATAAATGCATACATAATGATATATGGCCTGGAATCAATGGATTGAAACTAACTCATTTGCAATGGCTCCAATGGAATCAGTAAGACAAATTATCCAAGATTTTAGCCCTACTAATTTCACTGGGGACTAAGTTAAACTAAACTGGAACCTTTCTTACTCTCATAGTATGTATATGTGGGGAGAGAGACAGAGTCTAGGCTTGCATGATATGACAACACACTGTTGGTAGGTTGTCATATTGTACAAATCTGGACTATTTCCATAGGATGAATTGTTTGAGGACAACAAACCACCCAGGCAAGCAACGACTTCTTTGAGGTGTTGCTCTACCCATGATATCATCTAAAAACAGACAATTAAACCCATTCTGGATACCAGGAATTGCACCCACTTGTCCATTGCTGCTTTTGTCAAGCTTGCCCAGGCCAAATATGTGACAGTTGCTTGCAAAAGTGACCAGGCAGCACTTTGGGGCAACCGTCAGATCCTTGGTGCCCCCTTTGCTGTGATTGCAAGAACTTCTTTTCTCACTGCAGCTTCTCCCCGCCCCTTGCACAGCTTTTGTGAATGTTAGTTTAAATTGTAATCAGACAAATGCATATGTCCCTGTGTGTGAGGAGGGAGATGGATTAAGTCTGCCAAAACAAAATAATAAAAAACAAACAACTCCCCCTGAAACCCCCCCCCCACAGTTTAAAAAGAAGCCTGTGTTTTGACATTCTTTGCTCCCATAGAAGGGAATGTCTCTCACTCTTCCACTTTCCTGAATACCTAGACTATCTGGAAAGGGTGGAAAACAAGCAGGATGCTGAGGAGAGACCAATCAAGCCAAAAAGAAGTAGACCATCTTGTCACCAAGGCAGTGATTTTGTTGTCACCACTTTCCACATGCAAATGCCACTTTTCAGTTTTGCTTTCCCTGGATAACTCACCTTTTGACAGCTGTCAGGGGAAGGCAAAGCGTGTGTGTGGGTATTTGGGTCAATGTTCATTGTGGCTACCTGCACTTTGCAGCAGGTCTCCTTCAAGACATCGCCCAAGAAATGTCTGCCTGTTTCAGCCCCATAAAAGTGTGCATTAAAATTAAATTCTAAAAAACCCAGAAACATTTTAAAAATGCTGGCTTATTTAGTACATAAAAATGTTTGCCAAGCACTGACAGCACTTCCAAGCGGCTGTCGGGGGCTGTAAAACTGGGACCTGCAAACCTGGCTATTCAACCAGATGTTGTGATCTCCAAGGGGAGGCAAGAAGTGACAAAAAGCTGCTTGGAGCTGAAACTGGCTTGCAACTGCAGCAGGGAGGACAGTCAGCCAGTGGTCTGTGTCTCTGTGAACCTTCCTCTGTATGAGTTGCCTGGGAAGTGGTTTGGCTAGATCTTATTCAGACATAATCCCACTGTTGCTCTTCAGGAAGTGGCATTCAATGCCACACCACTCTGCCTGTAGACCTGGAGATTCCATGTAGCCCACACAGTGACCGCAATGCGTGCAGTCAAAGTTAGCTCGAAACAGGACCACCGGGGCTGAACAAATCATGGCTTGTGCCTTCCCGTTGCTCTTCCGGGCAGGCAGAGCAAGTCTCTGGAACGTAACCCCTCAGGGGTACTCTTTGAAAGAACACAGCTGAGTATTTTTTCCCTTTAGCCAGGATCTTGCTGAGGCAATAATACATTTGCTTGATAGAAAGGAACAATGGGACAAGAGAGGGTCAGGGAGGTGAAGAAAGAGCCTTAACAGCCCCACGGACGGATCTTCCATCCCAATCCTGGCTCGGATAGAGTGATCCCTGTGATTAGATAAATGTGTACAGACATCAGGTTAAATATGTCCAGGATTTGCCATAGTGTCTAGTACAATATCGTAAACCTCCAGCCTGTTTTGCTCAGTTCAGCAAAACAAGTCTTTGTTCAAATAAACCCCTTGCTAAGGAAGGCAAAAAATAGGTTCTCCCCACAAGGTCTGAGGAACTAGCCCCGGAAGGATTAAGGATGCCACAAATAGCAAACGAAAGAAGTGTATGCACAAGGGTAGCAGGGCAGAGAGTTCCTTAAGGGGAACAGAAGGATTAAATCCCTGGAAATTGTCAATGGCTCATAGAGCCTTTCACCTCTACTGCTGATGACTCAGATGTACCAAAGCAAGTATTTGCAATCCAGCTCCTAAGGGCTTTTCCAGTCAATTTTGCGTAGAACTAGAGAAGGGGCAAGAAGAGACCTCAAAAAACAAAAACAAAGCAAAACAAAACCCTATATTAAAATGCCAGGAGACAAAAATTCCATAAGATGGGAGGGCTTTGCTAGAGAACTTGTAGAGGCAGGATAAATACTTTTGCCTGCTTTTCCTAGTTTGTTTGGTTTGATTGAGGGTTTTGTTTTTGTTTTTGCATTTGGATGGATACAAGACAGGACTACAGTTCTGAAGAGGCTCAGTCCTTTCCTCGACCCTTTAAAATGTTAAAGCATGAAGCGTCTGGCCAGATGTTTAAATGGATAGGACCTAGCAAGATGGCAGCTCAACTGGAAGAATGTAAAGCATCCTGGGGAAAGAAAGAACAATTTCATTTCACTCGCTTTCATAATAAAACCATTTAAGTTGGTGCTGGCCACCACTACCTATTCACTGTCACAAGATGTGGCCATTATTTTAGATGGCTTTAAAAGAGGAAAAAGACAAATGCATGGAGAAGAGGTCCATCAATGGCTATTCACCATGATGAGTCTATACAACCACCATGTCCTGTCTCTCAATATTGATGGCTGGGAAGTAAGGGCAGGAAAGGACTGATCCCTTCATGTCTTGCATAACGAGCTTCCTGGAGGTCGTCAGTTTAGGAAGCAGGACACTAGACTAGATGGGCCTTTGGCCTGATCCAGCCAAATGCACAAATAAGCTAATGCGACCTTGCCCATCCTGGTGTGCTCCAGATGTGCCATGTTGCAATTCCCACCTTTTGCAGCCAGCATCGGCCATGGGCAAATCAAGATCTATTGGAAAGATTTCCATGTAGACTGCCCAGATGACACTGCTTCTGGGTTGACCTTTTGCACTATTGACTTGGACATCAGAAGTTGTTCCATGGAAAGGTTCTAGGAGAAGCCTGAGTCTTCCCAGCCACAACCTGCTGGAAAGGAAACCTCCCTTGCATTGCAAGTCCTTTGCACTTTCTCTTGCAGTTATAAACACAAGTAGCACTGCAGCTTCTAGCATTAATAAGTACACATGATGCATGCCAAGGCAGTCTGAGGCCATTCAGCTTTTCATTCACCAGGCCATGAGGAAAGTAAGCCTGTTTGGGCACGGCCCAGAGTTGCAAGGTTAAGAACTAAAGTCCTAGGGGAATCACGCCAGCACAATCATCTCTGAAACCGTCCCTTCTGCTTTCCCCCCCTTTGAAATTTCAAATTCCAGTTTGTGGACAAAGTCCTACCTATCTGAGAATATAGATCTCCGACCACTGACCAAACTCCATTCTAAGTGACTACCTAGCTATGCTTTCCCCCAGCTCTCTGACATTCTGTGCCTGGAGCTGATGGGAAACCTACTAACCCCAGTTTTGCATGCATAACCTGAGTACCCAGGAGGTTTTGGATTCCTTTTGGCCTTTTTGTGACTTCAGCATAAGGAATTGGGGAAGAGGATGCCTTCTGATCACCACTCCCAGAGCAGGTAGGAAGATACTTGTCTCCTACAGTTGTTGCAAATCTCTGTTTCAAAGGAAAGAGATGAAACCTTCTATTGTGCTTGAAGTTATTTTGGTCCACTGCTTAAGATTATAAAAGAAAAACAATGTAAAGGGGGCAGGGAACCGAAAGCCAAAGAGATAGGAAGAACGAACTCTTCTAATTGGAGGCACTTGATGTAGTTAACAGATAACTCCAGGCCGATTTTCTCACTCTCATCCTTTCTGATTCTATCCAGACTAGTTCAAACTTACTTCTGCTGCTAATCATTTCTTGGCCTGTTTGTCCTGCATTAAAAAATTAACAGGGAATAGTTTACTGCATGACTTGCTCACAACTTCAAGAAATGGCATAAGAAGCTGTCAGGCAGAATGTCTGGCCCCTCGGTAAGATCCTGCATTGAATCTAAGTGCGCCATTAAAAGAGAAAGAAAGATCATTCCCACCCTCCCCTCTAGAGTCAATATTTTGTACCTGCCCCTTTTCCATGACCTGAGTATATATTTGCTCTCTGGCTGTTTCCAAATGGAGATGATAAAGCCCCCAAAGGCTTGTATTTTGTCAGACTTTAGTAAACAGGGATCTTCTTTCCACACCATCAAATCCCATTTGCCTTTTGCCTGGATTCATGTCTTAAATGATTACAGAACCATTCCCCCTCCTCCATGTGTTAATAAGCACCCCTGTGGAATTCAGCTGAATCAGAAAGTTGCAGAGCATTTATGGATTATTAGCCAACTGGAAAAAATGCATCAGGAATAGGTGTCAGAGGGTACATCCTCACTTGCTGCAGCTCAGAAAGGGGCCAGGTTTGCAAAAAGTGAGGGGGGCTGGCAGTCTAGGCTAGCCTTCCCCAACCTGGTGCCCTCCAGATGTTTGAGAGTACAACACTTAGCATGCCTGAGCATTGGCCATGCTAGCAGGGACTGACGAGAGTGGAAATATGAAATGTTTGGAGGGCACCAGGTTGGGGAAGGATGGTCTAGATACATGGAGGCTTCGGCTTGCACTCATTCTTGGCCCTTTGTACTGCAAATATGTGGGGCCAGCATAGGATGTGCAATCTTCATGGCAGGCTCTGAGGTGCCTTTGCAGGTGCAGGGAGAATTTTAACATGCCCACGTTTTTTCTAGGATGTTTCCTACACTTCTGGATTAACTAAACCAAGAACTTGGGAACCTGGTACAAAACTAGAATAAAAGAGACTGAAAAGGTGATGTGATCCCTTCACACCAAACAGTTTTACACCAGCCTTACATGAGTCAACCACAGATGAGCACTTTCTCTTCGTTTTATTTAATGGACACTTAACACCAGCATGGCAAGCAGAAGGGATGCTGGCAGGTCGGCTTCCTTTCACTGCCTCTGCAGCTCAGAAGAAGCTTCGCCTCCTAAGTGCCGTACATGCCTTGTAGTTGTTCAAGACACAGGATTAGACACAAAATAAAAATGTGGCAATGTTGAGATAGCAAAGAGTTCTCCACTCTCCCTTCTGATCAGAGGTCAACTGGTAATTAGAAGCAGACGATGAATGGGGCATTAGTTGGTTGCTGAGGACTTATGGGAAATTCTCAGCTAGCTAGCAGTACCAGTGGATCGGCATAGCCACTTTGACAGAAGCCCATGACAAAGAGACATGATTCACCCAATCACAGAGGGAAAATAAGCCACGGTCCCATATTCTGCCCTCCTATGTGTGCTGGTTGCAAGTTGTCCAATTTGCAGAATTGCCTCCATTGGATACCATGACGTCTGAAGTGGCAAGAGTCAGTGGGTGGAGTGTTTTACCCACCACTGTAAAAGCTTAGCCCAAGCCATGGTTTGTAGGGAGCTGTGTAAACCATTCCAGCCAGCCACACTTGCTGAGTTCAGATGGCATGACAACCTGCTAATTATGTTAACGAGATGTCTCATAATGGGCACACTCAGGGAGGGATAATAAACTACTTTGGGTATTTGCCTTCCATCATTGTATAAACCTGGGCAGTAGCTCTGGAGGGTCTGGCTGACTGAGAGAAAGGCATTTTGATATTTTGGTTGCATGGAGAACTCTCACAGGAATGTAACAAATGGGCACATCATCCTTAATGCCCTGAAATTTCCCTTCCACCTTGGCAATGTGCCACCTATCTTAGGCAACATGGGGGGGGGGTACTGGGGGCCATGCCATTCCTGCCTGAGAACTGGATGCAAAATTAACAGTTGTGGTGCTTATCCATCAGCCGCCTGTTTCCAAAGTGCTCTGGTTTCATTTTTATTAAGAAATATTGCAGAAACCTGAGCCCCATGGAGAACCAGTGTGGCTAACAGTGCTACAGAGGGTACCAAAACACAATGACTGGGCTCATGTGCCCCCCCCTGCTCATGGGTTTGGTATGCTCACATGTAGAACCCCCAAGAGAGCCAGGGAGGATCTCTAGTGGCCCTTTTTATCCAATAGAAAATGAATCTGGACTTCCCCTGGACTTCTTGCCACTTTGAAAAGCGGGAAGTGCTTAACAATAATTAACACTTCAAACCTTTAAAGCATTTCACCAGCATTATCTAGTTGTAATTCATATAACAACCCTGTAAGATCCTCCCCTATATTGCAAGTGAGGGTGTCGTGGGGAGGGGGATAAAGACCAGAGTGGCCTGCTCTCGGTCCCCTAGTCAATTCATGGCAGAGGTGCCACCCCATCCAAGGACTTCCTGGGCTATAGCTCAGTACTAGCCACCAGGCAACAACAGCTGCCTAGCATTAAAACATCTGTGATGTTGCAAACCAGTCCCCCTGCCCTCCTTCCACAAAAGCCATCAGCCAAATGGGTTTAACAGCCACCAAGTTCCTTCACATATTTATTAATTTGTTTGTGGTAAAGAGAGAGACCATGCCCAGCAAATCAATGCCCAGAGAGAGACTGTGCCCAGCAAAATGGTCAGACTAGCAAATGTGGAAATGGAGCACAGATTCCTAGTGTCACAGTGATATTTCCCCTTACCCTTTATGTCACATGCCTGGTCACTATAGTCTGACAAAGTTGTTTGTCCCGGTCGTGAGCTCCTGTGAATTATCTGCTGATCTTGCCTTGGCTGTCTAGACTCATTATTTCAAGGAGGTTCTTGTTTACTTGAAAAGTGATGCTTGCAGTGCATCCCTTATAGAAGACAACCAAGAAAGCACCACTGGTATTCTAGTGGCCTGACTAGGTTTCTGGAAAAGGCTGCAGTGACATTACAAATGCAAACCAATGTCAAACCTATTTGACCCCATGGCTTGCTCCCAAGGTTGCCATCTGGTGGCTGCTCAACTCTAGCTGGACATAATAAAGAAAAAGAAATCTAGTTTCAGTTCCAGGCAGAAGCAGCCTTTGGAAATCAAAATGGATGCCTCTCAGAGAGTGCTGGAGTTCATCAAGGCTTGGTAGCAAACCGGAGCTATCCCAGAATGGAAAGGGAGGAAAGGAAATGTCATAACCCTGAGAGAGACAGAGACGAACCAGACAAGATGAACCAGACACTGTATTACAGCTGGATAACTCTTTTACTGCTTTTTGAGTCAAACAACCTCTTAATAACGTCTTAATGCTCAAGTACACGTTTTTGATATGGCCACCCTCTTGCTGAGTCCCAAGAGCTTCTAAAATGTAACACTCGATCATGAAGGCAATTAAGTAAGCAATATTCCTGTTCTTTTCTAACTGGAAAAGTGAAATATGCTGTAAGCAGATCACAACTACTGTTTGTTTATTTATTTATCTAGTTATTTATACCCTGCCTTTCTATCAAAAAAGGGCACTCAAATTTCTTGAGTGAGTTTTGACACCTTAACTCACATTCCCAGGCTTGGATGGCAAGCATTAAACCACACCTAAACTAATTTTTGCTATTTGAGCCAGTGTCTTGCCCTCTCCTCCACACCTGCTAAGAAAGTCAAGGTGAACAGAAGAGAGGAAAAGATTGAAGGGCTCAAGGGCAAAAAAAGTTTGGGGGCCATGGAGGTAGACAGATACAGAGCAGGTTAGGGCACAAAAAGGGAAGATTAAATACAGTAATAGGAAGAAGCACCAAAGACAGACAACCACAGTGCACATATTGATATAATTCTTAATTTGTTTCAATCAAACTCTTTAATCAGGGGAAAAATCACTAAAGGAAATCTTGTATAAAACAAATTAGAAATTATGCACACTAGATATTCTCAGTTTGGGGAGAAAAAATGGTTTCTTTGCCATTCAAATTTGACAAGAACTGAGAAGGCTCATCCATCCCTAATTGCGCTTCACCTGTCAAAGGGCCAATGCAATCAAGGATAGCTAAGAACTGTGTTTAATTTTAGTGTTGATAAATATTTGCACAAATCCACTTGGTTCTCCATAGCCAGGGCATAAAGAACTCAGAATTTAAAAATAAAAATAATAGTGGGAGAAAACAAACCAACAACATTTGTCCATACAGGTTTAGGGCTCTGGAGCTTAAAAGCACTTAAAAGTCAGGATTTGAAGCCCTATATATTCAATATTCAACCATGCAGGATGTGGGTTACCATCTCTTTTTTTCCTAACAAATGTCTTGCCTTTAAATGCCATTGGTCTGAGCAGGCCTTGAACAGATGAAACAATTTAAACTTTTTTACAGAGTTGTTACATAATAAAACAAAATAAAATCAATTATTAAAATGACCAGAAAATAATGTTGCTTTTTCCTGAATTTGGATAGATTGTAATGAAGGTGCCAGGCGAACTGCTCTTGGGAGGCTATTCCATAGGTGAGGTGCGGCCACTAAGAAGGCCCCTCTTCTGTTTGCCATCCTCCTTACCTCTTTGTTGCTCATTGCACAAACCGCAGTGTGACAACAGACAATCAAAATCACAGTGGGTTGTCTTCACCTCGTTCCCCCTTAGTCTCCCAACCCAGAACCCAGCTGCTTGGTCTCTCCTCCTCACCACAATCATCAGCAACTTTTCACTTATAGTGGCTTTTCTCTGCTTTCCCCTGTCTTGGGGTT